GCTGGCTGGGGAATTCTGGGAGTTGAAGTCCACCCATCTTCAAGGGCCAGAGGTGGAAAAACCCTGCCCCAAACCATCCGAAAATGAGCAGAAGTGGAAAGATAGAAATCACAACTCATTTATTGATTCCAATGTTAGCAAAAGAAGGAAATAATCCGCGGCCCCGGTTCATCGGGCTGTTGGCTTCAGGGAAACTCTCCTCTCGGATCCTATTCCCCGGGAACAGGCTTTTCCGCCGCCCGCCGACACAACAGCCCAAAAACCGAAAATTAAAATCAGACTGCCACCATCCCGGCGCTGAGAACAGGGAGCGACCGACCGAGAGCATTGCCAGATTGTTCCCTGTGCTGCCCCTTGGCTGCAGGAAGAGATCGGTGCCCTCTTTGGGAAGAACAAGCCCCCTTTCTCTGGCGTTTTAAGAAGCACGTGGACGGGTTTCCCCAGCCTAAGCTGAATCCAGAATGAATCCGGATTCTCCCCGGAGCTCCAACCCGGAGGAATCTGCACCGGAGCTGGGGTTCTTCCAAGGGGGCCACGTTGGCACTGCAAGGCCAAAAGGCTGTGTTGAGACCACCCCACCCTGGCCCTGCCTTGGCACACCCTGCCAGGCCATGCCCGCCACAAAAACTAGGTTTTAGGTCAAGGAGTCGGGCTGGGAAAGCGCGTCGCCGTCTCCTCTTCCCAACCCACAGTCCCCAAGCAGCTTGCAGCTGACGACCAGCCGGACGCTCACTCCTGCAAGAGACTTCTGGCGATGATCATCTTCATGATCTCGTTGGTCCCTGCAGGCCACAGAGCCGAAAAGAGAGATGGGTTTGTTAGCAAACGGCAGCATGGCGGCGAGGCTGCAGGAGAGGTACCGGAAGGGCAGGGAGCCCCGATTTAGCACCCTCAGCTTGTTTGCCCACTCCCTAATCCTCTCGGGGGCAGAGCGTCTCAAGGGCTGCCTTCGCAAATTACACCAAGCCAGAATTCGCACTCCAAGCCCCGAGAGGCTCAGAGCATCGCCTTTTGGACACGTCACGCCAGGATCCAGTTCCCAGGAGAAGTCCACAAGGCTTGGGGAAGCGGAAGGAAAGGAAGGAAGGGGGCGGCCAGCAGCAAGACGGACAGATTCGATTACGGCAGGGCCGCGTTGAGGACGTCTTTCTGGGATCCATCCACGTGGTTGCGAAAAGTTGACCCTGACTTGTCATCGAGGTGTGAACCCAGTCATAGGGGAGGGTAAACCACGACTCAGGGTTTCAGACAGCGTGCAAATCTAACCAATTTCTTCAATAAACTATGCATAAATCAGAGCTTATTGTGGCTTAGGAACCCAACTACTGTGTAGGCGGCACCAGCTTAAGGCTGTAGGAAAATATACAGGGTGTCCCAAAGATCAGGCCTCCGTGGACGATTTAGCATATAAATTACAGTGAATGTTCGAATTTTCTTCTAAAGAGTTCCTCGCTTGTTCGATGTGTGACCTAAGCGCAGTAACAGTAAATTCCTAAATACAGAGAAGTAAAAACCGCAAATTCCTAAATACAGTAAATTCCTAAGCGCAGTAACATTTTCTCTGATATTCACAAATTCTAATGCGATGATCTCCTTTAGACTGTCTACTGGCCTGTGTGTGAGGCCTGACTTTTGCTGGGTTTGTGTGTGTGTTGGGAACTAGCAGCAGCAGTTTGAAAGCAGGTTTCCTCAAGCCACCCAAAGAAACTGATGTGCTAAAGGATCAAGGAATTGAGTGTAGCCACTGAGCCGTCAGTCTAATACATGACTCAGGTTGCATTTAACTTGACTGCGTACATCAGTGAGATCCAGACAGCAGGCCGAGAGTGGCCGAGGTTGTGTCAACCCAACCACAACGGTACGTGTGTGTGTGTGTGTGTGTGAACGGCAGCAGCCAAGTTCCTAAAAAGTGCCTGACAACGTACCTTCCAGAATCTGGTGCACCCTGATGTCTCGCACAAACTGTTGCACAGCGTAATCCTTCAGGTAGCCATAGCCCCCGTGCATCTGCAGAGCTTGGTTGCAGATCTACAAAGAGCAGGAAAAACCCAGTGCAAACACGGGAGAAAGAGAATCCCTGCCTTTCCAAGAGGGGCACACTAGGGTCTAGAAACATCGGAGGGGAAAGCACGCTGTGGCTGTCAAAGCTGAACGTGAAGCTGTAGGAATGTAATCCCTGAAATCCTGCAATGCACAGAGCCCAACGGTCTGAGGTTGTTGTTTTAACCGTGTATATGAACAACACAGGGAATCTTTTTTCAAAAGTGGGGAACCGATGGCTGTCCAGATGTTCCTGAATCCTATTCTGGATGGGCAATGGCCAGGGATTCTGGGAGCTGTAGTTCACAACCTCTGGGCAGCCACCGGTTTCAGACCCCTGAGAGGTCGCAGTTCCTAACTGAAAGTGCAAGACCGCCCTCTAGTGGCCAAGGGAGGTTATTGCTACACAGCAGTTCCTAGGACTTGGATCGATAAAACGCATTAACTCGTCCAGGCGGGTTTCTTTTTTCTTCTATCACATGGAAAAAACAACAGCAAACCAAATCAGCAGATGGCAATAACCATCTTGCCGCGTGTTAAGATGCTTACCTGAAACCAGGCAGATCATTTTTACCAAACTAGCCAACTTTTGCGCGAAGGTCAAGGAGGTCACTCCTAGGACTGGCTAACAGTGCAGCAGCAGGAGAAACATTCCCCAATTAAAAAACTCTTTCCCAAGGAATGTGAAATTGGCCTCCACTTTGTCTACTTTAAAGGGACAAGGAAAATCAGGCCTGTTCACACAGGAATTTGTAGGACAACTAACGATCCAAAAATGACTTTTAGAGGATGCACTACATTTTTTTTAGATGTTTTTATCCCGTCTTTATTATTTTTATAAATAATTTGAGGTGGCAAACATAGCTAATACAGGTAGTCCTCACTTGACGACCTCAATAGGGACCAGAAAATTGATCATTAAGCAGGGAAGTCATTAAGCGAATCACCACGTGACCGGACCCGATTTTACGACAATTTTTACAACGGTTGTAATGTTTGAATTGCAATCATGTGACTGCAGGGGTGGTGCAATGGTTTGCGATGGTGTTAAGTGTGAGTACAGGTTGTAAAGCACTTCTTCCGAGGCTGTGGGAATTTTGGACCGTTGTTAAAGGTCGTTAAGTGAGGACTACCTGTACTCCTTCCTCCTCCTATTTTTATCACAATGACAACCCTGTGAGGTGAGTTGGGCTGAAAGAGAGTGACTGGCCCAAGATCACCCAGCCACCTTCCATGCCTAAGGTGGGAGTAGACCTCACCGTCTCCTGGATTCTAGCCTGGAGCCTTAACCACTAGACCAAACTGGCTCCCTCATTTCTTTTTAAATGAATTTTCTTTGAAAATTTCCTTTTAAACCAACATTTAAACATTTCTTTTTAAATGAACATTCTGGACTCTTTCGGAGAGGGAAGCCCCACAGAAAAAAACCCATCCTCGACAGGAAACCTTGTAGGCTTCATTTCAAGGAGAGACATGAAGATCCACCACGGGGGGACTTGACTTACCGCAAAGCACTCGTCGGTGGCAAAGAGCTTGGCCATGGAGCACAGAGCGACAGCATCTTTGCGCTGCTCCTGCAGGGCTCGGGCGGCGTTACGCACCATCAGACGGGCTGCCACCAAGCGCGTCGCCATCTGAGCCAGCTGGAACTGGAGGTACTGACAAGGAAAGCGGGAAGCTGGTATGAACGGTCTTCCTAGGGCTTAACTCTCTAGCAGAGCTCACACATCCCATTCAACGATGACTAATGATGGTTTGTTGAATAAGCCACAACTGGCTGGGCTCGCACATCCCCCTAAGCCAGAAATGGCGAATTCCAGGCAGCGGCCAGCACAAAACACACCCTACGCCCAGCATCCCTGCTCAAAAGAGGCTTGGCAGGCAGAATAAAACCTGGGGAGCCTGCTAAGGGGCCCTCTCACAAAGTGGCTGCCATGGTTGGAACAGCTAAGTAAAAAACACCCATTTTGCAGGAGTAAAACTTGGGAGTCGCTTCCTGATTCCAGCTTACAATGGTCAGAGATGAGCACGTTTCCAGACAAAGGGCTCAGGATACCTCGGGGTTTTATGGAAGGCCGAGAGGCTTTGCTGAAAATGCAGGTGACGCTGGAAGCGATTGATTGATTGATTGATTGATTGATTGATTGACTGACTGACTGACTGACTGACTGAATTTTTAGGCCACCCAACTCCAGAACAACTCTGGGCAGCTTTACAAGTGAAAAGAAATAACCTTACAGAAGGACAACCATCATCCCGAGGACAACATAAAATCCAGCCACCGCCCCCAAAGTCCCGGCCCCATAGCCTCACCCAAGGCCTGGGGGAAAAACAAGTTTGAAAGATTGCCTGAAGCTGGGCAAGGTGGGGCGGGCATACAGGTCTCTCGGGGGGTGCAATGGAGGACTGACTCTATCGGAAGGCATGCCACAGGAGGCGGTAAAGCTCCCTGGTGATGCTTTTTCCATCAATCAATCGAGATAGCAAATGAATTGGCAGGCATCGAAAGACGCCGCCAGCACACTGGAAGCGCCATGTTGGTTTCCACCTAGAACCGGTCTCCAAACCTCGTTATGTCTGTGATTGATTAACTTTACCTCCTTCTGCAATCACAAGAGGCTCTGGGCAGCTAACAAAAAAACGGTAACATCCATAATGAAACTTATGAAATATGATCCAGCACAATACTTGGGCGTCCATATCCAAAGGTGCTCCAGAAAAGCTCCATCTTGAGTTGTTTCCAGAAGGAAGATAATGTTATCCAACATCTGCAATGAATGAGCCTAGCCACTAAGCGGCCTCCAGTCACATATAATGATTCCCCCACTTTCTTTCAGATTGGAGTCGGGGTTTATCCTCCCTGCTGTCACTCTTGTTCAGCAGTAGAGCATTTGCATGCCCATACAGGTCATCCTCGTTTAGCAACCACAACTGGGACTGGCAACTCGGTCATTAAGCAAAGCGACTGCTAAAGTGAAACCGTGACGGTGCTTATGATCTGACTTCAGCTTTCCTTTGTTTTACAGACCTGCAGAGGTCATAAATGTGTGCATTGGTCGCAAAGTTACTTTTTCATCACTGGTGTAACTGTGAACAGTTGCTGCATGTGGCGGTCGCTAAATGAGGACAACCAGCACCAACGTCCCCACCCTTACTTGTATCCCTGGAAATATTTTCAAAAAAGGGAGGAACAGAGGTGGCGGTTGCAGGGGGCTCTGTCCCCAGCAGATGAGTTGAGGAGACAGGACGAGAGAATACCAGCCCATTGCTCCACTGGAAAAGGAGAGGTTTAGGCACCACAGCATTCCACAAAAACGCACCTGATTGGTAGCCAAGGGCTCCCCAAACTGTTTGCGGATGTTAAGATGCTCTCGAGCCAGGAGGACCGAAGCGTGGGCGGCCCCCAAGGAGCAAGACGCTGGAGAAGAAACCAAACACAGGCTCTGAACCACGGATCCTGTCCAACTCCGGCTGGCATCTCCACCTCTCTGCCTTCCTTACCGATATTAATTCTCCCCCCATTGAGGCCCTGCATGGCGATGTTGAAGCCCTGCCCTTCCTCTCCTAGCCGGTTGGCTTCTGGAACGGCGCAGTCTTCAAACACAACAGCCCGCGTCGGTTGCGAGTTCCAACCCACCTGCGGGGAAGACAGGCACCCCCTTGATGCTCCGCCTGGCCCCACCCCACCCGGAACATGCATGAGCCCCCATGTTCCTGAGCTCTTACTTTCTTCTCCTTTTTGCCAAAGCTCAACCCAGGGGTGCCCTTCTCCAGCACCAGGCAGGAGATGCCCTTGGGACCCGGCCCGCTGGTACGGCACATTACCACATACAGGTCAGCATCGCCGCCACCGCTGATGAAAGCCTGGGAGAAGGAAAGCAGAGGGGGGGAGCTGGGTTGGCTTTTTCTGGCAGCAAAACTTCAGAAAGGGTGTGGCGGCACCTTCTCCAACGAACCCATTTATGAAAAAACATAAGCTGCGTCTCGCCAACGCGTAAGCCTTTTAACAAATGGGTTAGTTGGAAAAGATGCCACCAGACTTCTTCAGATGTGTGGTTTGAAAGTGGTCCTAGATACAGCAAGGCTCGCCTGGGCTTGCTTCTAACTCTTCTTGCAAATCCTTCCAGCACATTTCAGAGCATCAACCTGACCTCTCCTCCACCATCACGTTGGGAGCAACCAACTCCTCCAGGTTTCCCTCAAGCCCGTAAACTTCACTCAAACCTGCCATCTATTCTTGGGCTCCAGATGTGGGTGCCAAATGGAAACGCCCTCCAGGGTGCCACCCCACAGAGTGGCTCCCTGGGAAGGGATCCTGCCTTCTTCGAGAAACCAGCTCTGAAATTGCCCTTCCTAGAAAAAAGAGTAAAGGCAGAGCTGAGAGTCCTACCTCAAGGCAAGGAGAAGGAGAAAGTTCTTCTGGAGCAGCATTTCTCAACCTTGGCAACTTGAAGATGTGTGGACTTCAATTTCCAGAATTCCCCAGCCAGCATAG